TAGCCGACATTACCCGTGCTTAGAAACGGTTCTAGGCGAAAGAGTATAGTTTCAACCTGAGCCGCCTCAGGAGGGAGAAGCGTCGGAGGGAGGGAGGGGGGTAGTGAGATGATTACCTCGTGCAAAAAGCTAGGATGGGGTAGAGTTGAATAAGTTGAATATATGCATGACTCACCCACCCGGTACTCCTTCCCTCCTGAAGCTCATATCATAAACTGTATGTTCCCGGCTAAGAAACTTTAATGAGCACAGTTACCGGCTAAGCTCCTTATTCTGGAACTATGTTTAAAAAAGAGGTCTCCCAACCACATTATCAGATCAGACTTCTGTAAAGACATACATAGCACGATGCCGGTACAGATCGGAATCACAGTTTTGAAGTACCCATTTCACTCCACATCACCCATTTCACTCCGCAGTCACTCTCCTCCATGAACCAACCCACCAAGTTACTGCCTTATATATAAGAAGGACGTGTAGATTAGAGCTAGGTTTCCCATATCACTGCCTTTAAAGTTTTGCGGACGGACAGATCGACGAACCGACACACCGACAATCACACAAACCCAAAAACCTACAAACCGACAAACCGACACATCAAGTTACTGCTTTATAAATGAAGGAGATAGTAGGATACATTATCAGTACTCACACGTATAACGTAAAGAACTGGTCAACCCCTATCACCCCTGAGCCGTGAAGCCATGAGCTTCACTCGATATAACTCTTTCCTTTGAGTCCTGGCCGCTGTATTCGCTTTTTTCCTTCTGAAGTTTGATGATACTTTCGAAACAGTCTCAGGCTATTATCCTTCAATTTATAGTCTTCCAACTGATCTTGAAGCTCCAATGCGACAGAATGGGCCAGATGTGCTACCCAGGGGGTAGTGGCAGTTCCTGCTGCTAACCTAGACAGCAGAACTGATCTTCATAACGAAAAGTTATTCTGTTGTCCATCTTCACGAACCAAACTTTCCCACGATGCACCAATAAACCTTCCTTGAACGATTTTATCACCTGAAACAGGTCTTTACGTGAGCGTCAACACAGAAGGAATCTCTCTGAACTCCTTGGAAGGTATCCTTTCAACAGGCGGTTTAGAGATTTGAAGACAGTTGGAAATTTCATGTGCACTGCGTATCCACTGATCTGTCATGAGCATCCACAGGTCCAGAATTGCTCCAGAGATCCTCTAGTGTAATGGAACTAGGCCTAGAGCTAGGAGATGAAGAAACGTACCCGAAAGCTGTCGACCACATCGTGGGGATCTTCGGTTGAAAGTGAACGTGTAGTGGTCAAGACTCAATACCATTATCAATCAGGTATAATACACATGTCTACACAGTGAACTATACAGTGATCTATGACGCCCATCTGATCGCTAGCGGCTCAGAAATTTGATCATTCATCCTTAGGTAAATTGTCAGCGGACCCTGCTACGGCGTGGGATTAACGCCAGGGAGAAAAAGAAGACCCTTACGTAAATTGCAGTGTAACATATGAAGGGATCGCCCAATCACCGAGACCCTCGTGATTACTGTAATTGATTGGAGGCCTCCAATTCGCCATTGCAACCATATAATGGTATTTGCAGTCTGAATAGGCTCCATGATAGGTGGGTGTTTTGGGATTAGGATCATTGAACATCCTGAACCAGTACTATTTCCACCTTTCAATAACCTTTCTATGTTTTTCGATATCGTCCTCTCCTTATAGAATCGTTGCCCATTGCTATCCTACAGTTATGAATATTTTCAATGTTCACTATTTTAGTTAGATGTATGGATGCTTGTGTCGATGACGTCCATCTTCTGCAGTCTTTTTGTGCTGGCGATCATCGGTTATATAGTTCGAGACGAGGGTTGATGAGAGATTTTGGCTCGCTAATGGGGTATACTTTGAAATGTGATCCTAGTTTGTTGTTGCACATAATGTAAGTAATCGTGTATAGAGCTTCCAACGCCATTCCCAGCTTAGGATTCTCAAAGACAACGTCCTGAATAGGCGCCAATCATTTCGGAACGTCTTGTCCATCGACAACGACACCGTCTAGCCTGTCTTTGAGAATCTTGAGCTGGGAATGACAGTGGAAGCTTTATACACGCTTATTCACATTATGTGCAACAACAAACTATGATCCAAACGTCCGTCAGCCACTGATCGTCACGGAGTATGAACGCGTTCAATACAGCGTTGTTCACAGTCATCTCAACATGCTCCAACAACCGCTCCCCATTCCCCCTCCCTTATTGCCATCCTTGCTACTCCAGCGGTTGAATGAGTGGGTTTTTAGTTCTTTGATCCGTTGTGGACTCCTAAGACAAAGTACCTCCTTAAGTGATCCAAATTACAAAAATAATGTAGGCAAACCATTAGAGGGGTCAATCAGTATAATTTTGGTGTTATTTGGTATGGAAATGAACCCCTAAGCGTTTTCCAACCACTTCATTCATTCAGACTTCAGAACCGTGGCCAGCAGTAAAGATTGATTCCTCATCAAGTATAATGTTTCCGATCAGCTTCTTTGTTTTCAATGAGAGTTCAGCTTGGGAAGTTGAAGTTGTGATTTACTGTTGATTTCCTGTGATTTACTGGAGCTCCTTTTTGACTTTCTCTTTTTTCACTTTTTCTCAGAAGTTAAAGTAGTGCTACGGCAGCTCATGAGTATATGTCTTCGCAGGTTATTTACTTTACTATTTACAATGCAAGCAGGAGATATGGGACAGCATAAACAAATTGTGATGCAATGATTCTGCTAATAATCATGGGAGTTTGCCTGTCGGTGCCTTTACGTACGAGGTGGACAAAATCATTACTCTCCTACACTTCGTTCTGATTCTGCTACAAAACTGATTCACAAACAGCTCTTCATTCAGGCGCCACCAAATTCCGGTGACCAAACTGAGCATATCAAAGCTTGCCATACAAAATACGTGTACGTGTGCTACAGTAGAGTGCAGTCGTCGGTTTCACAGATGAAATTTTCTCTTTCGTGGCAGTCCAGATCGTTCCACTGATTCCATGCCGTAGTTTCATAGCTTACGTACTGTAATCAATTTTTCTTCGAAATTCCAGTTCCTATATGCTGAACTAGTTATGGACAACCTACTTGAACGCATTCTTCCGAACGTCCTGTTCCATGCCAATCGTCGGGCGTCCTTTGACTTTGCCACCATGATCTGTACTCACAGTTTGAACCACTTTCCCAGGTCCACGACCACTTTTCTCTTCCTTTCCAATTAAGTCCGATCCAAACGCGAGTATTAGATCTTCCAGTTTGATAATAATAAGCCATGACTGCAACAGTCGCATAACCAGCTTTCGATTTTATTACGAAGTCTTGAATATCTCTAGTATCAATTATTAATTAAAGGCATAGTTCACGATAATTTGGGTAATCCAGATTATGACGAAAAATGAAAGACAAGATGGAAAATAGTGCGATGAAAGTGAAGGAACTGCGTGAATCGTGGGGTTTCCAAGGTTAACCAAAGCTTCGAGAAATCGTTAAAAAAGGGTGGACGAGAATGAGACGAAAACTGAAGAAGAATGGGGCTTTTGGACGAGCCATACAATGTGTGTCATTGCACAAGTGCGAGTCTTGGTGCGAGCAGCCTACGGAAAGCAAAAAGTCCTTCGCTCATAAGCATAGGTTAACAAAGAACCCTAGTAATAGGAAAGACACCCCACCTTTTTTAGCCTCTTGAGGCAGAAACTAAGAAGAAGGATTGCAGCAGCAAAAAGAATCACAGAAAGAATACTATGAAAAAAAAAATAAAAAACATCGCCTAACCACCGGAGATCAGCTGATTGTGTGTGGGTCCTAAACGACTATTGCAATCTGTTTCGCCTCGACACTCGTTTGACGTGGCATCTATCGAGGGGCGGCAGTTCCGGGGCATCAATTAACGGGGCTCCAACTAGCCTGCCCTAGCTGTTGAGTTTTGGGACTCGACAGCATCCTTCTTGTTACCCTTGGGGGCCACTGGGTATTCCTAGGGAAAACACAGAAACTTTTCTATCGTGAACTGTGCCGTTTAGTGGACATAACAAAAGTATGTGTTGAGAAGCTCAGCATTTTGCACAGCGGTCAAAAACTGATTGCTCGTAACGCAAGTTTCATCGACTTACTCTGAATAGAAACCCGATTGAAGAAAGTTGAAAGTTCTTCTCTGCTAAGTACTACGGTTATCACATTTTTGGTTAGAGAATCGACCTTTTAGCCTCAAGTAATGGATCAAATGCTTAGTAGACTATTGACTAAAGACCGACCTCACGATAAAAATGATTTCTGATATTTATCCATAGGATAAACGCTACTGCTGAATATGCTGAATATCACCGGCATTGCAGAGGTTGCACTATGCACAAGGAAACCCATGTAGTAGGCTCAAACAATTTGTCATGACACAAAGCGACAGTGAAAGACACTCTGTACAGTTCTGACTTGATGCAGGCAGCTCTTTGGGCGATTGCAGCCGTTGAAATCTGCAGCCGAATATCTTTTCCAATATCTTGTTATTTCTGCCGTCGCAATCTCGTTCAACCTTTCTTTTTCCTACTTTTAAGGAACCTTATTTTCCTCAAAATTAGCGAATTTTCCCGCTTTCTTCACTATCGACGAACTACTCCCAACCTATACTTCCGCTTTTTGAATAAAAGTGGGTACCTCAGAATTATTGTGAGCTTGAGCTGTGCCTTTGAAGGTAAAGCTCAAGCTCACGATAAAAAAGGTTACTGAGCTCTTCTTGTTGGAATACTCAGCGCCACCGGTGGTAGAAGGGACCTTCTCGCTCCCGCAATCTCGGCGGTTAGGGCATAGTAGAAGCCCTGCTGCTTTCATAGTCCGCCGGTCGGCGTGCCGGCGGAGGCAGTGTTAGGGGGGAGGAGGGAGGCAAACAGATAGGCGAACAGTCCACGCCCCTTCGAGGGGCTGAAAACAAGCAACCTTCAAAGGGGCGTGGACTGTTTGCCTTATACTGCCTGCCTCCCTCCTCCCCCTAGCACTGCCTCCGGCGGACTATGAAAGCAGCCATTGGCCTTCCCGCCTCTCGATCGATGCACGTCAGACAAGATGTGCAATACAGATTGCAACTTTTCGTTTTAGGATCCACACACAATCAGCTGATCGCCTAGTGATGAGGCGATGTTCGTTCTCCACTCTTTTACTGAAAGGCTGAAAAAGGTGAAAATTACCGTGAACTGCGCCAATAAGCACTGAATTTCGCATAGGCATGCTTCTGCAAGGTTTTGTACAGTGGAGACCGAACCGACACCCAAAACTTTCTACAGTTCCGGACAAAAGTGGAGCTAGGACGCAATCAACAACGTCCGCCGCTCGTCTGTCTCCCTGCCGTGCGGCGGCTCGCACCTTTGCTCTCGATACCTACTTGGTTCACCCCGTTGGGTGTACTGTCTATTCGCTGTTTACTTCTCCTACACTTGGCGTTGCTCAGAGTGGCGCTGGGTTGATTTAGAAGATTGAAATCTGCCACCGTAGCAGGTATACTCAACTGTCTTTGTTTTTGTTTTATCATCACCAAAGGTGCAATCGAATCGATCGATCACTATTGCCGTGCACTTCATCGACTAGCTGTGGTCAGAGAGGCTCATTGGTCAACGACGCTTCTTGCCCATTGCTGGACTATTTATCTGGGCTGGTTATCTTGCATCGTTGGTTATATTGCGCCCTATTTTTTGTGTATCGGATATTGACGACGCTCAGAGTGGCAACTGGACATCCTTTCTATTAGTGTTGCCACCACGACAGGTATTTCCTCTTCTTAAGTGCGATATATCCCACTTATTGATTACAGTGATTTTCTATATCACTCGACATTGCTGCACCTGTGTATGTAATGGATGTGACTGTTGCTGCATGTGCTACAAGTGCCAACATCTCCGGTCAGGAAGAGTCATGTTGGCTGGATCTTCAGAGTAAGCTGGAGGAGATATCTAGGTCTAGGCGGGTCACTGACACTGTGCAGAATGTTCTTTGTGCCACGATGGCAGAATTGAGTTTTTTTACGTTCTGAGAACTTGAACCTGAAGAAACAAATTAAGGACTTGCGAGACAAAAATGCTGATGAGGTGATGAGCAGTAGTATTCAGTTGTCTAGTAGTCAAGCTCCACCATCGGGCCAGAGCGACAGCAAAAAGAGCTCCAGCTCAAGACATGAAGTATCGTATAAAGAGGTTGAGAGATTGAGATCTATTGTAATATCTGGTATTCCTGATGCTGCTTCTTCGAATTTAAGAGATAGATTGTCGTACGAATTTCATAGCGTTTGTAATGTACTTGATTATCTTGGAATAGAGAGCAACCCAGTAACGATGTATAGAATGGGCAGACCTTCGCAAGGCAGAAGTAGATTACTAAAAGTGGTTCTCCCTTCTCGTTTGTTTCAGCGTACTGTCTTCAAAAGGGCGCCTAGACTCCGCTATTTCCCCGAGCGAGGGATTTACATTAAGGAATCCAGGGAGGAGCGTAAGCGGGCGCGTCTTTTACGCAGTAACACTGGGGAAGGGGAGGCCCGTTCTCCATCTGCGGGTAATTCTAGCCTGTTGAGGGATAACGTGGAGTCTCCTAACCCCCAATCATTTCTTATGCCACCCAGGAAAACTAGTAACATCTGCGCGGGTTGAGTTGAATTGTCTCAGATTCTTTTTCTGTAATGTGAGGTCAATATCAAGGAACTCGGTCTATGTCGAAAGGGTTTTATGTTGCAAATATGATCTCTACGCTTTTGCCGAAACCTGGCTGGAACCAAGTCATCTTACTTCTTCTATTCTGGGAGCTCTATGCAAGGATTACGATGTCATCAGATGTGATCGCCCTAAAAAGGCTGGGGGTTGCATTGTTCTATTAGCGCACTCCAGGTTGTCCGTGGTTAAGGTTTTCATGGAATCTGTTTCCGATGCATACGAAATAGTTTGCGCCGACGTACTCAGTAGTAGTTCCAGGTTCCGAGTTATAGTTGTGTACAGGGTGCCATAATGTATAGCAGTGAAAACTATGCAACTAATTAAAGTGCTTAGTGATCTAATTGCGTGTGAGTTGCCCACCGTATTCGTTGGTGATTTCAATATGCCTGAACTTTACAAAAAATTTTGTGCCGATTCAGATCGTTCCATTGTGGCTTCGTTTTGGGAACTAATATACTGTCATGAGTTAACCCAACATGTCCGTGACCCAACCAGGGAAGGAAAGATCTTGGACTTGGTTTTCAGCTCTGAGTTAGACTTGATAAGGAACTTACAGATCCTTCATCCTTCCTCCTGTGATCACAATAGCGTTGCTTTTGAGGTATCAGTGTACGACTGTTTGGCTTCACCTGTTTATCGTAGGGTATACTCTGCTTGTAACTTCAAGGATTAATGAGTGATCTCTCGCGCATACGATGGGTTGAGTTGTTTGAAACGTGCAACGATGTCAATGAGAAGTATGAATTGCTGTTGTCAGTGCTACATACAGATATTGATTATTATGTTCCTTGGAGGAAGGAGGCTTTCTTCAAGTTTGTTCCCCTACCGGGTCATCTGCAAAAAATGAGCGAGCATTTCGATTGTCTTTTTCTCGAAGCTAGGCGTACTGCGAACTGGACTGAATACAGAAGATTCAAGGATATTTTTCTCACTCGTTTCAAGAAGTTCAATCGTTAATTAGAAAAAAAAATGTTGAGGCAGGATGCAGTGGTAGTTTCTACAAGTATCAGAATAGCAAAATTAAAGATAAAAAGTGCATTGGTTCTCTGAAAAGTGGCGACCTAATGGTATACAGAGCAGAAGACAAAGCAAACGTGTTTGCGGACCAGTTTTCAAAATCATTTTTAAATGATGATGGTATAGTTCCTGAATTTACCTCTCCGTTGACGTGTTCTATGAAAGAACTGCCCTGGTTTCATGCGGATCGACTCTATGACCGAATAATGGGCTGGTCTAGGAGCTTTTCGATAACTCCGGATTTCATTCCGTTATTTTTCATACAACAGGTTACTGCTGTCATCTGTGGGCCATTAGCGTACTCATTCAATCAATCATTGATGAAAGGGGAGGTCCCTCGACGGCGGAAGCACTCCTTTGTTACCCCTGTTCTCAAAAAAGAACCTTCTTCGGATCCGGCGAATTATAGACCTTTTAGCATACCATCCTTGTTTTGCAGACTATTTGAGAAGATCATCAAGGCGCACATTCTGGAACATGTTGCAGCATGCCGTATAGTCCCTAAAGCCCAACATGGTTTCATACCGGGTCGGTCAGTAGAAACAAATATGATTGAGAGCCTTGAAGATTGGA